GACATTCGTTGACCTCAGAATATACCGATAGTTTTTGCTCTGACTCGCCTACAGCGGTGTGACTGAAGGTTGTGCGTCGAGGCTAAAGGACTGCGGGTCGTGGCCAAAGGATTGCGGGTTTTGGCTAAAGCTTGATGGGAAAAGGTGTAGATCACTAGCAACAAGTTCTCACTCATATTGTTCGTCCGTTCGGTGTTTGAGGTGAATACAACCTGCGTCGGTCTGGAAATCTTTCTAGAGTTATTTTATCTGCACAAGGATGGCACTAAGCATCTATATAAAAACAGCAAGTCTAGGTTTATACCGCGAAAATTGTGAACAACTCGATGTGGATGCTCTGGGAACTCACTTGCCGGTTTTGAGTAATTTAGACACTTCTTGAGTGTGCCCTTCTCTTGAAGCGTCTGAATTCCTCAAAATCGACTAGTGAGTTACTAACGAAATGACACAGCAAGTAACAGTCTGTTCTAAATGTTGTTTACTAAGAGGTCAGCGTTAACTAATCGGTTGCTTGGTTGTATCTAAGTCCCGAACTAAATCTCACTGTAGACTACGGCTAAAAACTCTGTTCACACTCCACGAACTTGCAATGACGCACACTAATCTTTAGTAATAGTTTGCAGGTTGTTGTATAACAAAAACAAACATGCGATCCAGATTTGCTCAAAGTTCAGGAACATTCCATGACTGGAATATGTAATCTTTGAATAAAGCTGATTCCAAACGGCACTGTTTGAATATCGCCTCGGAACGGTCACTAACTTCACGTAACAATGTGTGGCAACTAGACCGGTGCGCATTTCACAGTCACATCGATATCAGGTATAGGTTACACGCACTGTACGGGAGAGAAAAAATATCTGCGAGTGATTAAATTTTGTCCATATCACCAGACCGTATCACATGTGACACATAAACCGGAATCGCCAAGGGTGGGGGCTTTTACACTAGGCAAATTCACTAACAGACAGTCCACGCAGCGGCGAAGAAAACAAGCACAAATTTTTTGTCAATCAATTGTATAGCCACATAAGTGTGAAGCTTGAACGAACGAAAGTATCTAGTTGCGTCAACTCCCCGACAAAACGGGATAGTGCTAGTTGTTGAATGTTTATCCATTCTGCTATTTTCGTCCACCACTGATACCGGCTATACGTCCTTTCACATATGTTTATTCCCTGAACTAATGTGAACGTTTATGTGATGATTACTATTCAATTTCTATGCAATGCCTGACAGCTTGTAGTTACGGTTGAATACAAAACAAACTATTTGATCGGGGACGATGTGTAAGTTTTCCTCTTGCAGAGAAGGAGATATTAATCGAGCCGTTCACACTGTGAAATACGGGGCGATAAACAAATACACAAATGATCATCATCATCACTGTCTAACTGATTGTGATCTGGGTCACCCAGCTAGCCTCTCCCCCGCTCATCCGCTCGCCCGCGCACGATTAATTAAACGGAAACTGTGGGCCATTGTTGTGAGATTCACCCAATTCGTCCTGTCTGAACCAGAACCATCTCCATCCATCTGCAGACAGCCAATGATTAGGCGCTATTCGAATCTGTACTCACATGAATGACCGATTACTGAATGTCCGTCCAACAGACAACACGTCTGTGTGGAACGATCTAATCGCCTATCAGTTCATTCTAATGTGAACGGACAGAGTTGGCTGATCCACCCCGCCAGTTCATCTGATCGGGCAGGTCAGGTGCAATAACAGAAAGAGGGGGAACAAACAAATTAATGAACCGAATGATTTAACAACTTTCTTTTGCCGCTCAAGGAGTCTACTATTGGTTATAGTTTTTTTAAAGAATGACCAGCGTAAGTCATTGCGTAAATGATAACGACAAACTGCTTGTCGTTTTTGACTCAAGAATTAAAGTTGGTGAATTCCGTGACTTATCACATCAAATTCTGGTAATTGTTTTGTCAGACTAAACCAGTGAAGTTGCTCGCTCTATTATAGGCGGTAATCACCCGTGAAATGCGAAATATCCGCGGAGAATTCGGTTGTAACTGATGAAACGATGACGCTGGTTATATGTTACGATTTGATGAGAAAATTTAAAAAACTTACAAAATATGCTTATTGTCCCCTTTTGTTTCCTCAGTGCAACGAGAATATTGCTAAAACGTTCTGTCTAGTTGTATCTCAGTGCGAATTGGATAAGAACGCCAGTTGACGGTAAAACTCGTTTTCAAAGTGTTGGTTTCTGTGATTACACCTCACATGCCCTTTTTCAGTCGACCACAACTTTTGTGGATGAATATTAAGTACCCTGCATGGTCATTCGCAGGGCGATGTTAAAAGTATGCCACACAGACACACGCTTCGAGTATCATTATCGGATGTTCGATTAGAGAAATTGGAAAACATGCCTCGAACTTTCAGCGAATTCCTGTGAAGGGCTATACCGAATTTTAAAATAAACAAAATCAGTCGGACGGTATGATTCCAACGAAAACTTGGACCCCCATGCATTTTTGTTTTGTTTCGCGTTTGTTCCGGGCTAAACATCATGCTATCGGTGATCAAACTGTCGGGTAGGTCCTCCCACAGAGAAACTGTGGGTGAACGCAGATCAAACGAAGAGACCCGCTAACAATGTGCGTCTTCTATTTGCACTGTACCCAACGGATTCATCTTTTCTTACTTGTGGGTGCATGAAACTTTCGCCGGGGATTCATGCACACGCACAAATACATACACAAAAACGCGGAAACACACACTGGATTCAAATAAGTTCTCTCCCAGTTTGACGGTAGTCATCTGATTCATGGAACCAATTAGGATATCCACAAATGGCAAGTTAACTGAATTCAAACTTTATTTTTGACCAGTAATGATAATTGTGAAGCATAATGTCTCTGCGCGTGCTTCGCCAGTTGACTGATTCTCTGGCCCTCTCTCTCGTTTTCGATGAACAATAAACCGATAATTCACGGAGTCTATTTGAGATAGCAATCAACTAACACTTTTCTGGCACAGTATTCGGTGTTATCCAAGGTTCCCCAATTAGATGGATTCCCGAACCTTTCTGTGTTCGCCTCTTAAATAAATCTGTCAAGTGTGTTGGACTCAATCGTCACCAAGATTCATATCCACAACGAGTGATGTAGTTGGTACCGTACCGAGTTATTCTCGTTTCTCCATCTCTACAGCGTCGTGTGCAGAGCAAACGGGGGTGCTAAGAAGCATTCACTACTATACACCATTTTTGAGTCTCATCAGTGCTATGCCAATTCATCGACCCCATCGAGGAACGAACTCAGCGCAGGTAGAACTCAGGACTTATCGTCTACCTGACCACCGAGGCTGATCCAACCGTTTTCCATCACAAAGTGTTGCACCAGTCACTTTCAAGCGGTGCTGTTTAGTAGACTGCAACTATTCAGACACTGCCTGTCAGGAAGGAAAACGTTTGATAGAATAGTGCCGCAATTTAAGCTCATGATCTTCGGTTCGATGTGATGACAACCATAACCACCAAACGGTTATCATGACTGTGACAGATTTCACAGGGGCCTGTAACTTACAGAGTGATTATTATAATTCAAACAATTTTGCGGTTTGACCCCCAACGTTTTGTTTAGAAGTTGAGACTAAATCGTATGTGCCTAGGAGATGTCAGGTGTTATCAAATTTTCTGTGCCTACTACAATTAACTTCCGTTTATCATGAGAATAATATTGCCTGTTCCCTTGCGTTAGTTTGTTCTGTGGATCAACATTACCGTCAGTCATCTCACTTCTGGTGAGGTGCTTCATCTGTACCGTACCACCGGCAAAACTGGGGTAAACAGCGGCACTTCAAGCGTGCAGAAATGAGACTAAACTGTTCATTGCATTGGAAAGCTCAGAACGAACACTCTACTTGACAGTCAGTGTCCAGGCTGCCAAGTATCTGCGAGGGTTTAAATTTGTCTCGAACAAGTGGATGGATGAAATTCGCACGAGCACAGTTCAATGTGTAAAGGATGCTGGATGCTTTCGGCTAGAAATTTATCGGCAAAATTCAAGTATGCACCAAAATGGGCATCGGAGATGTTGTCAGTCAAAACAGATAATAGAGCTGATCATAATTGAGACCATGCTTCATCAGCCCTCAAGGAAATTCACAGAGTTCAGTTGATACATTTTGGTGTATCCACTTCAATAATTCATAGTAGTGTTGGAAACTTTGCCGTGCTTATTATTTCCTTTTGTTCTTAAAACAATCCACGTATCCAGCAACTCAAAATAATGTTTCAGCAAGTCGTAGTGTCTTAGTGATAAACGCGTCGTACGAACAGTAAGTCAGTTACTAAATTTTATCGATTGATTGATTTTAAATCTATACAATCGTTTGTTAAAATGTAAAGCAAAAGTGTCCGACGCTTCTCTATGAGAGATTTTGTTTCCATTTTCTATGGCATCAGGAATTATTGAAAACTGACTGTGCGATAATACATTTATTAAATAAATAAAGTGAAATACATTATGTTTAGTTCACTTTTAAATTCACAATAACGTGTCCGAGCTTCCAACAACTCTGTCCCATCAGCTGTCGAGCTTCTACAACCCATTCGATGGTTAAAAGCATACCAATTGCTCGAGGGTGGGATTGGGGTAGGAGGTTTCTATTTTAATTAGAAGTTTTACGTAGCAGATGTTTTCTCGAACAATCCGTGACATTTTTCCTGGACATGAACAGAACAGTTGTAAAATCTGTCGGTTGGTCAGTTGGTTTCCTCCGGAGATTGCGTTTGTCGGAAAACTTTACTCCAAAGCCGGACATTTGTTGAACCCATCTGGACCGTTGCAATCGTTACCTCATATAACTGACAAATAAATAAATGTCATTTGTAATAATAACCAATCTTAGATGACAGGTAATCTGTCCCTCGGATACACCAGGTGCTTTTGATAAACCACTAAACTCAATTTGTTTTGTAACAAACACCTGGTTTTGGCAATTCAGCGGTCTTCAAAGTGCTTGAAATATCAGTCAAGCTTGATGAATTCAACTTTTTTCCGGATCTGAATGTAAAACATATATAAATATACATATAATGTTTGGGTATCCGTACTGCCGGCAACACCCAACGTAATATCTTGATAGATATTCATGTGTACAATTACGAAATGATATGTTGCCCACCAGAGTTCCAGCTGTACTCAGCTTTTACCTTTTCTCTCATTAGAGCATCTATGTAGTACATGATTTCTGCCTCGTGAAAAGCACTTAAAACCAAAACAAGCGTAGATACGCACACACACGCACACAAGTAAATCGCCTGAGCAGATCATGGTGAGCAGTCTGTCAATAAAACTGGTCATGATGATGATAATGATGATGATGTTGATGATGATCAAACTCTCCTTTTTACCATCGCATCTTGATTGCGTGATAAATGTCTGGTCATTTGTCAAAGATTGAAAACCGCTACAAATACGTCATCTTGATTGCACGACTCTCTTTCTCTTTGTTGACTAGTGAAACAGCATACAAACAACACAAGCTCTCCCACAGACAATTTGGACTATAGACTATAGAGTGATTGTTAATTTGCTAAGGAGAAAACTTGAGCTACTGAAATACGAAACGGTCTTTTTTGAATGCTGTTTCTGTACTACCTAAATTGTGTGCATCGTTTACAGACCAAAATAAGTGGATTTTATTGTTTGAAGCTAATGGTTGTCTTCAAAAATAAAAATCAATAAAAACAGTGATATCAAGCCACACAGGTCGACTAAGATCTCGTTATCCGAATGCAACGTGTCTCATATTCCCTGAAGCTTATCGATCCATATCAGATGACGGCATCGTGAAAACCACGTAATAAATTTGTGACTTTGTTACTCAATTACTGAGCATCACACTCGATTGATTAGATTGACGTTAGAAACTCTCTCTTGTTCATGGCACTTCCGTCCTTTTTTCTAACTGGACTGATTAACCGATATTTTAGGATAGAACTACAATCCTGTTGGCTACTGGGAATAGAATAACGCAGGGTGCTGAAAATCGCGTGTACTTGATAATTTAAGCATAAAATAACACCGGGGTTCATCAACCAACAAATGTCTCAACTAAATTCTAAATTGTTTCAGCCGAAATATGGTATGCTTTCTCATGATGGCCAAATAAGCATTATCCGCTTGTTTCGATAAGTAATAATCATGCCCAAATTGCTGTTGTGTGGTGGTCTATCCATTTATTTTTGATTACATTTGCTCCACCCATAAAGGTGCGCACATCCATGACAACGAATTATTTCTATCAGGCAATTCTGCGCATGATCAAGCGGTGCGGCATTTCGTCGGTATCGCCTCTGAATGGTCAGTCATTGGTGTGGACGCGCTGTTCGACGAAATTGACTTGAACGGTAAGAATGGAACAGATGATATAATGTCCTGATTTACATATATATATATATATATTGTATTTAAGTAACATTTATTATTTTTCCATTGGAGATCTGCTGGTCCTCTTCATCTTTCGTTTAAATTAATTTTGTGCAGGGTATGCCGGAATTGGGGATTAGATTTAAGAAACCGTTTATTTTAAACATACGTGACAAATATGCGCTTGCACCTCATTCAAAATCATCACTTTCCGACTCACTACCACAGCGGTGGATACGAACATTGTTCAACCTTTACACTGGCATTGGTAAGGAAGATAGTGAATAGAAGTCAAGCGGTTAAAGTCTCTGTCACCGGCGTGAACTCACCCTTGCGGCTTGCGGTTCGAACCCCGACACCGTCATCCAACTTCGGTGTGGACAGGTTGGCTATTGTCTGGCTTCTTGTGGCTCCGTACTCCAAGTCCCGAAGCTTCGGNCGGTTGCCTGTTCCTATGTGTGAACTACAACAGGTCCTCGTGGATGAGGCGTTCTCCCAGGCTGCCGCAGAGGCTTCCCGCACTCCTGTGCATCACTGCTCTGTGCTCATTTTGATACTTTCTTCTTTAGTATAAAAGGGCACATACTTTATTTAAAGACAAATAATATGATTGAATATTACTGCAACGTGTACTGAAGCAAAAGCGATTGCTTGAATTTCTCCCATATGAATAATTAAAAAATTGAGAACAGATGACAGTTAAGCAGAATGCACAATAGATGCACGGTTTGCATATTCGGACCGGTCATAAAAAATATTAAAACACCGAGACCAAGAGAGGCTCCGTCTGTCGTAAACGGTGAATATTTTTGGACCAACTGCGGTTCCATTTTTCCCTTCAGCACTAAATGGACTATTAAAACGCGGATACCCTTGTGTTCTCGACAGTCGTTCTCCATCCCGGAAGGGGTCTGAGCGGGTGGAGGCCTAAATGTACTCGGAAGATAACGCAAAGGCGTGTGTTAACACCGGGTTCTCCAAATTCATCAGCCGGAGGCCTTCAGCAATTGATGGAATACAAGTTTATTGTGAACTTAACCGCTTTGCCATAAAGTTAAGCTGGCACTTCGTTTGCACAAATGTGCTCTAATTTCAATATAATTGTTTTCGTTCTGACGGTTTATGGTTATTTCTCTCTCTCTCTGGTCCAATTCATTCATTCATTCCGGGATGTCTGTGCAACCGGTTCTCACCCGTTTCCGTTGGCACAGAACAAAGTACATGTTTGAATCAACCCAAATTCTGGTTAAATATCGACAATGTTCCTGTGTTTTAAGCATAAGACCTTGTTAAATGACGGTGTATCGGTTCCACACCGGCAGCTGGTTTATCAATGGAATGTGGCGAATGCTCGGTTGCGTGTATGAGTTGCTATGTGAAACTAAAACTAAATGGTATTGAAAAATATAGAAACTAAACATTTGTTTTGAACACAAACAAGGTAATTCGAAGTGTCCTAGTGTGGTCCCATCCTGCCCATGGTTCACTTTCAGTCCCACGGAGAAAGAGATTTCAAGTGCTGATTCTCGTTGTGCTCTGATCGTGTGCAATGCCTCAATCTTTCTTCGGCTGAGGTTACATTATTTCATCGGGCAAACTGATTACCTTTTGCAATTTCGCACAAACAAGCAGCACTATGAATTGACGCTCAAGCTTATATTTGATAAAAAAGATTCATTTTTACACAAAATGTGTGGTCTATAGAATTATACACTCTCTATAAAAATAATAATGACACAAAACGGATGGTTCGTCGATTCATGTAAAAACTTATTTTACCTGGTCCAACCCCATTCAGATTCCAATACGGATCTGCTTATATTGGATGTTTGGAGACTGAAAATCATTTTATTGCATGTCCATTGATTGCAGAACATATTCGGGTTCATCCTGTTTGTTCAGGTAAAACCTGCTACCCAATTGTGATGTTGGTCTCTGAATAATCAAATAAATCACTTTATTTGAAATACCGTTCATTCAGGGTCAATATAGTCAAGTTCAATTTTAAATCTATCAGACGTGCCCAAATCGATTTGTGCATTATTATTTGCTCAATCTCTGTATGTGCGCGTGTCTTACACATAGTTCGTGTGCTTCTGGAAGAAATAATACAAAACGCACTGAAATGTTTTGATAAAGCAAAGTTTGACTTATTTTCAAACAACCATAACATTTTTAGTTCATCAAATATTCCCAAAGAAATTGAAAACGTTTGGTAGACTATGACTATATGTGAACGCAAATTCTCAATGGAAAAGCTAAAAACAATGGGGAGTAAGCAATGACACGAGAAATCGAGTTCATCTTAAAAATCCGATACAATTAAACAAACAAATTGTGAAATCAAGTTATCGCTTTTTATTTTTACATTTCTTTCCTCCGAATCACACTCATATTTGTATTGGGAATTTTTAGTTAAGTAGTGATTTGTTGCTTGTTTCAGCAAATAATAATTTGTCGGTACCGATTCACCACATAACCCTCCATAGTGGTCAAAACTTTGCGCAAGCGGATTACACATTTTACATGAATATCATCACATACGTACCATTCACACCCACTGACTGAATTTCCCTAGCCCTCCGCAACCCGTTCACCTGCTCCTCTCCCAATCCACTTTCAAAACACACTGAACGAATTCGAGCAGCACTCAGTTGTCCAATTAGATACGTCACCTTGTAAACAAGACAAGAGGGGAACTGAAGGAGATGTTTTCAGTGTATTTTGCACATGTATTGGCTGACTGACAACTCGTTGGTACCAGTTCTTTCTGTTTCAATATGCGTTCCACTTTGTCAAGCTCTGTGAGCTCAGTAAAACCAGTCACCAACATCATACCCATCAAATGTACTGGGATACCTTTATCTTGAAAGCCATAAATGATCCACAACAACCAAAACCGAACAGTCGGTCCACTTCGTTCGAGGAACAGTTGATGGGTCGGAACTTGCCATTCTCAGAATGTTTCAACTTACTACCGCCAGAATTCTCCCCCGCATAGTCCATAATCTGAACCGTGCCAGTGCCAACCCAGGTTGATATCAGAACAGTTGGATATCCTGAGACGGAAAACAACAGACCTACTATTGAAAATCTATTTTTTTCACTGAACCCATTTCACGGTCTTTGCACTCCACCTGTCACAACTGGACAGTGGCTTCCGGTGATTGTGGTATTCAAGCACTAAGTTATCCAATCAAAATGAGATACATTAGTTTGAGCACACAGGTGTATCAACCGACGTCATCAGTTTCCAGTTGACCCATTTGATTTCATGATTGTCCAGAACGTGGAAATATTTTACCTTGTTAGGTTTGTATTGTACTCAATTGTATTCCGTTCATCAGCCATCAAAATTAAACATGGAACTGGATCAAAAATGAATCACAGAACGATGAAGCCTGTTCTGAATGACCATTTGCTGCTTTTATTGTATATTGAACATGCCGAATCATCAGGAAAAATCCTATGCATAAAGCTGGTGGGTGAAACTGATAGGTTATGCTTTTTCTCTGGAATTAGATAGACTGCCTTCAGGATTAGAACTTAACAGCGAATTGACCTGTGAAGTTGCCGATCCAACGCAACGAAATCCGAGACTATCTCGGGATACGGTAATGCGATTGATACATATTGATATTGGTCTCTCAATGATGGAGTGCAAAAGTGATTGATGAGTTACCGGAGTTAGGACAGTCGCCAAGGCGCTTCCAGACCTACGTGCGTCAAGTGAAATTGAGGAAATGTTTGGCTGTGCACCACAGATGCACGATGCTTCAAAAAGGTCAGCCCATTACTGCGTCAAATTCGAACCAAACAGAGGTTCTCCCGGTGGGACAGTGACATTAAGCTCATAGACCTCTTGAAATGCAACGAAAACCGAGGTCAGCCGTGTCGAACTGGTAGTTTTCGCGCGCTTGGGTGTTAAACGGATAGAGAGAGTGTGATCAGTGGATGAACAAACTGCGATCCGGTCTGGAGCAGACCCGATGCAAGAAGGTCAAGTACATAATGGGAGAAGCGATAGAGATCACTTGCAAAATAGTGCAGTCGAAGACAAGTTAAGCAAGCGGTTTATGTCTATCTGTCCGTCTGTCTGTCTGTCTGCTCAAACATAAAGCAGATGCTCGGTTGAATCTCTCAATCGATTGACTAGGTACGAGGTCACTAACCAAAAGGAAATTAATATTGACGGGAAACAAAGTGGCCGATCTTCAGGGTAACCAGTTAGACAAAAGGACAACAAAAGGATTTGGACGAACAGATTAGACAAAGTTTAACTTTTGCCTTGGTGTTCCCATGATATTTTGAAAGCTCTGTGATGCGTCTACTAATTTCAATCATCAGTGAATCTAATTATCAAGCATATTGATAGCAAAGATTTACTGTGAATGTGCGAGGGTAACAGATCGGTTATGATACACCGGCAACACGACGTTTATTCACACAATGAAGAGAAAGTGTTCGACTTCTTGGAAAATTTTTTCAACTGTTGAGCATCCGCATTTTGCACCACCTTGCACTATTTCGAGGCTTACTAACTCAAAACAGTATGTCACACCACATGGACCTGTTTCCCTGATCCATAATGATACATTCCGTGGTATCAATCAATCTCTAGGTTTTACTATCAACATTAAGATCCTGGAATATGAAAATATTCCACTTTTTATTGTATACACATGTCGAATCAAGTTTTAAATAAGAAGTTGAAGGCTGCCGCGGATCAAGCTCTGTCTAAGGACACAGAATGAACCAGCCGGGATGCAGTACTGGACTTAGAACCCGTGACCTCCTCCGGGTCGACGTGTCGGTAACTTGACCACCACGGCTTGTATGTGATAAAACAGACCGAACTATGTATGTGTGTATGAATCGATTCATGGCTACGGGCTTATTATTAATATTATTACAAGTTATCGGACTACCCGAGCGTCATGTTACTTCATGTGATTTACACAAAGCTTAAAACTGATACACACCATGGATAGCTACAAAAACAAAATATATAAA